CTCTTTTTTTTTTTTTTTTCTTCCATAAAGTAAATCTGTGAACAAACAATGACAAAACACTAAACTTTTTTGAGGAGAGTAAATGTAACAAATCCAAAACCGAACTGCTTTCGTCTGTGTTTTGCTTTAATAATTCTTCTGAGGTGCCACAATGACCCGATCAGTGTGAGACAAACATGAAGACTGGCACTCACAGGAACTCTCAGCAAATTTATAACAACCATAAATCATGGCCAGTCTCCACTACAGCTTCTACAAAGATTTTATAGCACAGCATTTTTACATTTGGTTACAAAAAAAAAAGAGTTTTTATTAATCTACACCTTACAATATAGAAGGCATCAGCCCTGCCTCCACGAGGCTGTAAATAACCCAAACATCATAAACAGCAGGTTGTTTAGAGCGACGTCAGCTCATCTCTGAAGGACTTCAACTGCTCTGACAGAACATATTCAATCATCCTGAGCGGCAGGCTGCATGTCGGCACCGCCGGTTTGCAGGAAAGTGTGAAAATGTGACCTGAATCTCCAAACCGCTCGCTGTGCACAGCAGCTGCAGGTAAACGCTCACATCCGCCTCTCGCCTTCTTCTCAATACCACAAGATAAATACAGTTATATGTGTGTGTGTGCGTGCAAACCTGGGCCTGCAGGGAAGAGCTGCAGGTGTGAGAGACGGCCAGCTGTTCATTTATTACCTAACAGGATCAGCTGCACTTTTATTGGATTATGCAGCACATACGACCACTGTGAGAACTTACACACAAAAATAGTTCCCGTGTTCCTCTTGAATCAGATTCATGAGGAGAAGTAAAAGCTGGTGCTGCTGTCACTTAAGGGCCGTGACGCTTTTAGCTTTAATGTGAGCATTTTTCCAGCAAGCTTTTATGTCTAATCTGTCTGAGAACATCAAATCAACATTCAAACCGTCCTCAAATAAATAATATAAAGAGATATTTGCAGTGCAGATAAAGAAGCATTCTCCTTGTTGTTCATTAGTAAGCTGTTACGAAGCAAAGTCACAGAACTCGTGAACTCCGAGTTTGACAACATATAAAGTGTTGAAAGAAGCCGTCACAACGACAGATTCACACGCGAGTAAAAACTATAATCCGTAAAACCGTTTTCTGTTTTCGCACACCTTTTCTCACAGATAAGATCCTAAACGCAGTCGAACTCGTTTTATCGCAGTCGCCCTCACAGGAGGAAAACGCGTTTTCGTCTCGTCCTTATCAGAACTACGTTTTTAATTTCACTTCTGCTCGTTGTTGATAGCAAATTAGTACATTTAAAAAAAAACAAAAAAACAAGAATGACCAAAGTAGGGCGGCACGGTGGCTCAGTTTGTAGAGCTACCGCCTTTCAGCGAGAAGGTTGCTGGATCGAATCCCAGACTTTCTGGGTGGAGTTTGCATGTTCTGTCTGTGCTACGTGGGTTTTCTCCTCTGGTTTCCTCCCACAGACCAAAAACATGCATGTTAGGCTGATTGTAACTCTAGATTGACTCTAGATGAGAGAGAGAAAAAGGTTGTTTGTCTCGTTTGTCTCTATTTGTCCCTGTGATGGACTGGAGACCAGTCCAGGTGTCCCCCGCCTCTCACCCAGTGACTGCTGGATATGGGCACCAGCGACCCAAAAAGGATGAAGCAGGTAAAAGATAATGGATGGATGGATGGCTTACCAAAGCGCTTTACAAGCTGAACAATTTCAATAAAATAATTACAATAAAATGAAACATTAACGCTAATGAATAAAATCAAATCAAATAGGCTAAACTGAGCTTAAACAAGAAAAGACCACAGCACCCTGAGTGTAAATCTGTTAAAACTGGTGTGAGCAGGCGTGTTTTTTTTACAAGACGTGCTGCAGTAATTTACACTAACTACAGATTGTTTAAGGCCACGGAGAACTCCGGTAGTTCATAAAGGCACGAAGAGGTTTAGGAGGATTTAAGAAGGAATGTAAGACTCTGATTTGGCAGTTTGACATAACTGATAAAAACTAGGAGGGATGTCTAAAAACATTCAAAGAAAGCTCATTTGTTCACTTTATGTGGATAAAAATGGATTTGAAGCTCACTGCAGAAAGTGAATCTCCTAAAATGCAATTAAGGAAGTGTAATGGCCACTGCAATGTGTTTTAAGCAAACTACGGGCCAATAAAGTCTGACCACAGGATCTGCATTTGTGTCCTAACGGTGCTTTTAATGATCTCCACAAATCTTTTTAACAACCTGTGAATCTTGACAGCAGCATATAAATATTTGAATATGGCCTTAGATGGCTAAACTTGTTTCTCTTGGTCTGCGTGAAAAGCTGCTCAGATAGAGTCTGAAGCCAGTAAAGGTAAAAATGACGGACGTTCAAATGTTCAGTCTTCTTTGTTCTGAATAGTCTTAAAGGCATTCTTCTCCTCCACCGTCTGATCAGAACCAGTTTCAACTTGATAATCTTTTACAGCTGATTTAGAACTCCTTACATCCATCCATTAATCCACCCCAACCCAGCAGTCACTGTGTGAGTGGGGGGGACACTTAGGACAAGTCTCCAGTCCATCACGGGGACACATAAACAAGACAAACAACCAGTCACACTCACACAATTCAGTTACATGAATGCTTCTGGTCTGTGGAGGAGAACCTGGATAAAACCCACAGGTGCACATGGAGAACATGTAAACTCCACAGAAAGGCCCTGGTCTGAGAGACAAATCTGCAACTTCCTCGCTGAGAGGCAACAGTTCCAACCACTGAGCCACCATGCCACAAAACTCCAGCTCCTTGCAGCTGTAATTCAGTTTTCTGCCACTAGATGGCGCTCCCAATGCACAAACTTCAACTGGAGGCTCAGAACAGAAAGATTAGTGTTTCTTATTTTTATAATTTAGTTTTTTTATTGGGATTGGACACAGTTTATAACGGATACTTAAAATATTTGGTTAATTTGAAGCAATTTTGGGTTTCCAAACTCAGCCTGTGTGAAGAATAGTTTAAATAAATTATTTAAAACTGTGTGTAATTTAAATGAGGGGCAAACTGAATTCCAGGCTCATAAGTGTGAGTCGATTTAAACACAGTGTATGTGTGTTTTTGTTTAAAATAAAATATTTAAATAACTGCTTTATACATACTAATTGTTTTAAGATATTTTAGTTTTGCTGTGATGCCAAGGAGAAATATTCAGTCTAATTTTAAACTATTTTATCACAGTGCAACAACAAATGGTGAAGATGTTTTAGGCCAGATCAGTGTTGGGGTGAGGCTCCTCTGTGGATCATCAAACATCAAGTGGGGGCCCTCACAAAGTGTCCAGAAGTCAAAACAAAAAAAAGGTTTCGGATGACACAAAAAAGGTTGAGTCTAACAACATTTAGGGAATTGGAGCAGTGGTCTGTGATGGACTTGCGACCTGTCAAGGTGTCCCCCAACTCTTGTACAGTGACTGCTGGACATGGACAGTGACCCCCACAATCCAAAGGAGGAAGTGGGTAAAAATAATGGATGGATGCATGGATCCTTCTCTTCGAATGGTGTTTCTGTTCAGTTTGTTGATTCTTGTAAATATGCATCTCTCTTTTAAGCTGCATGTTGAAAACTTGGTAAAGAAACTGAAAGTTAAACTGAGTTTCTTTTTCAGAAATAGATCCTGTCTATCTCTGAATGCTAAGAACCACCTTAACTGTGACTTTCCTTCCCTCCATTGACTATGGTGACATTATTTACACGAATGCTCCTGCAAACACCCTGCAGATGTTGGATGATGTCTATCATGGTGCACTAAGATTCATAACTGGCTGTAACTACCGTACCCACCACTGCACCCTGTATTCACTGGTTAACTGGTCATCATTAACTTCACGCAGACTCTCTCACTGGTACATTTTCATCTTTAAATCTCTTCTTGGTCTGTTGCCTTCATACATCTCCTACATGTCACTTGCGTGAGTGCAGCTACAGCGTGCGCTCTCAGGACATTATTACATGCAGTGTTCCCTCAGTGTGGACCGAACTAGGCAAAAGGGCCTTCTCCTACTCCGCTCCTGTTTCCTGGAACATCTTGCAAAAAGATCTGAAGCTCTCGACCTTGACCTCTCTAAGTGGCTTCAAACATCTGCAAAGACCAACGCAGACGTTCCTGTTTTTAGTAATTTACATCGTTTTACAATGTAGCTGGTTTTGTTTTGTTTTTTAGTATCATTTTACTTTTCGTTTTATATGCTTTTTAATGATTGTCTCCTGTTGTCATCTGTGTTTAAAGCAGGACGCTCTTGTAAATGAGTCCTCGTGACTCAATGACACTAACCTGTATAAATAATAGTTGAATTGAAAGGAAGGATGAATGGATGGATGGATGGATGGACACTGTGTGCCTGAAAATCTGTTACTGTATTGCAGAAATTTTACGTTGAGCTTGAGGGGATTCATGATTATTAGTTTGTTGTGCTGACCTGGTCCACAGATCAGAATTCAGACCCAGTTTCAGGTCCTGGTCTTTAGAACTGCTGTAAACCGCTGAGGACTGCACTAACACTGGTCCTCATAAGTATAGCTGTAAGTGGTGTGTCTGAGTGTGTGGTTTGCTCCGCCTCCTTTACAGCAGCGCGTGTGACGTCACGTGGAGAGCTCGCGCTCAGCAGCAACAGGTTGTTTCATTCGGTTCAGTCCGCTCCGCGCTCGTCTAACGGATCTCATCATGAACCGGGCTGGAGCTTCACTGCTTTCCCAGAAACCTTCACTCGAAAACGGACTAACGGGGGTTAAGAGCGCCCCTCTGTCTTCCGCTTGTGCAAAACTTTAACTTCAGTTTGGATTCTTCAGATTTTTGGGGTGTCTTGAATCTCACTCGCGGCTCTTTGGTCGGAACGTTACTCACCGCGCGAGCCGCTAAAACCACCGGCGTGATGGTCGCAGGAGGACCGCTGGACGTGGTCTTTTGAAGTTTTGTCTCGAAACAAGGTGAAAGTGGAATATGTTCGTGGAAACGCTCGGACTTCTCGTCTTAACTTCAGCTAGCAAACCGCGGAGAATGCTATCATCTGGTCCCTGCAGCCTGAGCCTCCGTCCTTTCGTTATGGTTTTGTAAAAAGGCCGAACAACAAACAAAAACAATGATTTCGGAGGAGAGAAGCAGCCACGTAAATAAACAAGCCCTGAACTTTCCCGTGGGTTTGCTCATCCGCTCTCCCAAGAGGCGCCTGGCCAAACTGGGGAGGAAACCCAGCAATGGGTCCCTGCAGTAAGTCAGCCCCGGAACTCTCTTTACTGTTCTTTGTTTTTACTGTTTTTAAACCTGATAAAAGTGTGACACACAATGCTTTCGAACGTTAAGCTACACCTGTTCACCTCATGATATAATTTAAACAAGTATTCTCTCATATTTGCACTGAAACAGCAGCATTTACACTATGTGGTGTGTTAATAAACATTTTACTTTTACAATAAAAATGTTTGATTAATTTAATGTGCATCCCAATCCCTAAAAGTAACAGATAAAATAATAATATTTGCTCTTTTGTAAGGGCAAGTAACTGTTTTGCTTTGCTCCATCACTGCAACATTCATGTAAGAACTGTTTCCCCATTGCAGTATTTAAATTTCATTTTTGTCTTCTATTGTGTTTATTATATCAAGTTCAAATTGTGTTTATTTGTCATATGCAAGGTTAACACAAGGTTAACAGTACAATGGAATGCTCAGGATGAGAACAACCGATTTAACTCGCTACAAAAAAATCAAAGAACAAACAAGAAATACTAAAAGCATGCAATAAAGGTACAAAAATAAAGTACCAAAAAGTGAAAAAGTAATTATAGAACATAGAGGCTGATCATCAGTATAGCTGATGCCAAGGTTTAGAAATCTGACAGTGGATGTAAAAGACTAATTTGTTTAGATTTTTGGCTTGTGTGTATATTTTATTTAACAAAATAAAATACTGTAGTTGCCTAACTCAAATAAACATATTTAACAACACTTAGAAGAAATCGCACACCTGAAAAATAATATTTAGAAGATAATTTATATAAAATAAATAATTAGTGAGCTAAGATTCAAGGATTCAAGGTTCTTTATTTGTCATACACACCACATGGGGTGGAATGAAATTGTGTACACATGGTCCCAGTTACATCCAACAAATGTATAAAATCTAAAAGAAAATCTGTAATAAGATGTAGTATAAAAACAATACGCCGAACAGCAGCACGAACATGAGTCTGTGTGAGCAGATGAGCACGAATGAACACAGCAACATGAAACAGATCAGCAGCAACATGACGTGATTTTTCACAGTGATTATTCTGGTTAGAGATTCATGAGTCTAACAGCCTCAGGGTAGAAGCTGTTCCTCAGTCTAGTGGTTCCACACTTAACGCTCCTTAACCTCCTTCCTGAGGGGAGCGGGACAAAACATGTGCGTGCTGGGTGAGTGGGGTCCTTCATGATGCAGGTGGCCCTCTTCCTGCATCTGGAGGTGTAGATGTATGTGATGGTGGGGAGGCTGACTAAAGTCTCTGATGTGCTTTCTTGATCAGGCTGGTAGTGTTGTTGCTCCAGCTGAGGTTGTCATACAATTGCACACCCAAGTAAGATGAATACAGTATGCATATCTTAATTTTTCTACTTGGTGAATAATAAAGTGCACATTGCAATTTTTTTTAAGTGGTAATATTTGCTGATTAAAATTGGTTGTCTGAATAATCAGTCTATCTCTAGTAGAATTTTTTTTTTACCCAATTATGAATGTTCTTAATTTCAAACCCATTTTTACTTTCTAATTTCTTCTAAATAACAGTGTGTGCAGGTTGTTGATCTAATTAGTGCTCATAGCTACAGTTGCTCTGTATTAGCTCTTCTTTTGACTATAAGCAATGTTTTAATCTGTCGAGCTCTCAAAGGGGTAAACTATCTGTATCCTTCTGTGTAATGTAAAATTGTTTTGTTGCTTGAATTTCACTCCTTTTTTTATTATGTGATTAAAGTAAACAGTTGATGAATCAAAATTAAAATAGTAATGGAATATCCAGTGAGCTATTAGAAGCATCCAGGGGTCTGGAAACAGAGAAGCCACGTGTGGTGCTGATTTTTGTCCCTTTGTGTCTTCTCAGGTCCAGCAAATCGGACAACACTGTCCAATCAGCTGAGAGTGTCAGCGTCCGGCAGCCAGCCAAGAGTAAAATCCGGCGTCACAACAACAAGCTTTCGACTGTTTTCAACTACAGCCCCAACCTGCGGGACAATGGCCGCCGTGACCAGACGAGGGGCAGCGGGAGCCTGTCGGGTGACCCTCAGCTCACAGATGACCCAGCCGAACTGTCCAGCCAGATGTCTGTGCCGGGCATCCTGAAGGTCTTTGGTAGTGACATCTGCCAAGGGGCCCACTACAAGAGTGTGCTGGCCACCACTCAGTCCAGTGCAAAGGAGCTGGTCAGGGAGGCGTTAGCGAGGTGAGATGTTTTGATCTGAGTTGAAACATGTCAAGAAAACTTTCCACAAGGAGGTTTAAATCTGGAAAAGATGAAGATCAGCTGAATTGGAACAGTCAGTGTGCGAGCAGTCAGCAGATCACCACCGTCACCTCTCAGATGTCTCTATTTACATTATATTTGCAACAACTTGAACTTTTTATATACAAAATGCATGTTTATACAACTTCATGGTCCATTTTACCACCTCCGCTGCATTCCATATGGCGTTGTAAGTTTATTGATTAAAATAAATATATAACTCGTAAATTTTATTGGAAGGAAAATTATTTATAGATTGTGGATTCAATTCAATTCAGTTTATTTATATAGCGCCAAATCACAACAAAGTTGTCTCAGGGCACTTTACAGGAACATTCACATACATAAAAGCCGATTAGTAAAGTTCTCTATCTAAGGAATCCAGCAGACAAGTTGAATATTCATTTTGTCGCAGTCTCCCATCCTGAGCAAGCACAGTGGCAACAGTGGAAAGAAAAAACTCCCTTTTAAAAGGAAGAAACCTCCAGCAGAACCAGGCTCAGGACAAGCGGCCATCTGTTTTCACCATAAACATTTGATTTGGGACACATGATCAACATAATCAAAAACATGTTTACAACTGTCAACTTGGAAAGACAGCAGGAGTTTCAGGCCAAAAGAACCAGAGCGCTCCTCCTGTTTCCTTCGTCCCCTCTTTCCAATAATCCTCCCTGAATTTCTGCTTTTGTTGTTCAGGTACTGTCTGGAAAAAGAAGACGCCAACGATTATGTGCTGTGTGACGTGATTGGTCAGACAGGAGCTGATAGCCAGTGGAAGAGGGAGTGCTTCAGAGTTGTGAGTGACAATGAGAGGCCCCTCATGCTGCAGTCACTGTGGAAGCCCAAGGAAGGCTTCTCCAGAAGATTTGAGATCCAAAGGCGAGTGGCTGTTGAAGAGCAGAGTCTGAAGGACACGGACACAATCACAGCAGGTATTCTTGTCAGATCACACCTCCCCTCCTTGAACTTTTAGTCAAAAATCTTAGACTGTGCCATTTCCAGTGTGCAGATACTCAGTGACTAACATCTAGACTCCTGGGCTATCAATCACTCAAGTCTCTGCACCAAGAGCCTTTATCCCCGTCTCTTATTGCCAGCTAACAGCCTTCATTGTCCTGCTTATCACCAGTTAGAGCTGTGGAGACGGCAGGCATGTGAAAGAGGTCAGGAGGAAACAAAGCTACTGTGAAGGGTTAAGAGGTCAGAGCGGCCCTCTTCTTATCTTTGTTTTATTTCAAGGGCCCATCAGGTCCCTGTGAAGCATCAAGGCACTAAGCAACTCTTCCAATTGGTCCTGGAGCTGCCAGAAAGTTTTCTCACTGCGGTGCTATTATTCTTTTATCAGAGCTCACTTCCTGCTCAGTTGGGACTGTGCAGCTCATTGACTTTGGCTCAGGCTTGTTGTGGTTCTTGTGTATGTTGGACCAGCACACAGGTTTGTTGACACTGGCTTTTTAATACCTGGTACTGCTGCTATAGTTAGGCTTCAGATGGCATGATTTAAAAACAAAACAGGAAATATTTCTCTTATTTTTATGTTATACTTTTATAGACAAAAGTAAATTATATCAGTGGTTCTTTCTTTATGCTTAAACAGTGGTGGGCACAGCTAACCAGAAAGTTAGCTTCGCTAACCCATATTCAACCAACTACAAAATTAGCTTTGCTAACGCTTAATCGTTAAACAGGGAAAAAAATTAGTTAACGTTAAACCTCTAAGACGACTGTCACTCAGTCTGTGTCACACGTCTTCGTCTCCTTCTAGTTGAAGCTGCATCGACCAGTCACGCCTTGTCACGTGCACACGCAGTCAGCCAATTTCGTGCCTAACGCACTCCGAGACATGCCCACAACAGACAGGAACAAGCTTGTGAATTTTGTTAGCAGACCAAAAGATGGCAAAACCTGATTTAGCAGAAGTGAATTTCGCTAACCCTTTCCAAAGTTTGTGAAAACACTTATCCGCTAAACAAAAAACGAGTTCCGCTATTAGCTGTTAGCGAATTAGCAGAACTGTGCCCATCCCTGCTTAAAGGTTTAATTCACCAAATTACTGTACTGCAGGAGTGGCATGAACTGAACTAGCTCCTGAGACGACTTCTGTTGAGACGTGGCGCTATATGAATAAATAAATAAACTGAATTGAATTTAAAGCTAAATATAATTTAGACGTTATACCTGAGACCTACAATGAGCTGATGAGACAAAAAGATGACTAAACTGGAGTAGTACTAAATATTCACCACCACAAGCTCAAAGCGGAACGCTCCATTACTACAACCTCTCTTAAACTCTGTTGGGATTAAAATATTACAGCAATACTTTGTTTACACCAAAAGTTATATATAAAGATGGTTGACGTGTTTTGATCAACTTCTGTTGTACTAAGGCAAAGCCGTAATATCTGTGTGAGTGCTACTGTGGTGTACTTTCCAACCAGTCTGCTCACACGGGATGTGAGGCTGAAGGTCCCACCTACACACCCACACATATTCATCAAATAAACATAATCAACAGCTTTGTTTACATGTTTACATGATGTAAAACTTACTACTAGAGCATGCTTCAACTTCCGTGTTGTGTTCCAGTCTCCAGTTTTGTATCTTTAATGGGAATTGTTTTGTGACTTTTCAATTGTTTTACACTAATAGTAGATGTTTTTTCCAACACATTTACACATTGAAATTTTTCTGGTATTCAAATTTGTTCATTTTATGGTTAAAACTTTGACAGATCCCCTGTAATGCAGTGAAATGCAGCCAAAGGAACTTATTTCTTGGCTAAGTAAAGTCATTAATTGTTACTAGTTTTGTTTCTGTTACCACAACCCTGAGTAGAATCGGCTCCTGTTTCATTAAAACTATGCAAAATTGATCCAGCTTCCCGTTTTAGGGTTCCCTCCTCCTAATCAAAGAAAATAACATCTTTAGAAGAAAAAAGTCTATCGCTTGATTTTTTTGTTTAATAGTTTATAATTTTTAGTTTTCCATATGGAGTTAATGTTGTGCCAAAGAGTTTCTTACCATCAGCAGAAAAATGTTCTAATGCAAACATGGACAGTTTATGTTTTAAACCTCTAAAATCCTGCAAGCTGTAACTTTATATCAAGACCCCTTCAGTCAGATTCTGCTGTAGTTCTGCTGTTGCACATGATTCATTCTCCTCATCATCATCATTATCCTCCTCTCATTGACTAGGGAAGCTGCCCTTTACCTCCTCAGGGTTTTAGGCACAGAGCCCATTCTGTCAGAGTTGTGCTGAACAATGTGGAAAACACCCATTTCCACAGCTGATAAGAGCAGCGGAGTGCCTGGTGTGAGTTGGGCTCTCTGGACATTCTGCTGGGCTTAATGGCTCCAAAAAAGCTGAATAGTGTTTGTGTTATGTCAGATTGATAGAGAGCTGTTGATATCAGATAGAGGTGGCTACATCTCACTTTCCCTGCACATTCACCCTGCTTTTCCTCCGGTTCTGTTGTGTTTGAGTTGGAGCCAGCGCAGCAAATCATTACGCTGAAGGCAGATTAGTTTACCAGAGCAATTTCAGGGGAATTCTGGTGACTGTAAACACGATTTTATAAACAACATATCTCTTCTGTTTGTGTTTTTCTCTGTTTTGATGAAGCTTGATAGCTTAGAGATTAAATGGTTTGTTGCTGTTTTGGCAATTCTGAAACGTAATTTTGTTATTTACTCATTTCCTTCCACTAATTTCCTTCAGTAGAAAAGTTGCATTTAAAAGCAGCCATGCTGTAAGAAAGGACAGAGTGACGTCAAACTGCTTCTGTAAAATCGGCCATGTTAGAGATTACTTCTTGTTTAATAACAATCAGGTGCATTACAACTTTTCCAAATCAGTTCACACACCATGTTCTTCAACAAATTTTAAGATCGTTTTATTTTTGACGTTTAAGCAGTCGGTGCAAACAATGTTGAACACTGTTCCCTTTGTGAATGCAGGTATCAATGCTCAGGCTCGTAAACTTCAGAGGAACCGCTCCAGGGTGGCCTCCCTGTTTGTGGACAGCAGCGGGGAGGATCCAGACGGACCCGGGTTCTGGAGAAGCTTGAGTGAGATGGATCTTTCTGCGATGGGGAAGGAGGCCAACCGGGCCCAACAGAGCACGCTCAGAGAGGATCTGGAAGTCGAGGCTGACAAGGAGGTGCTACGACTCGGCATGGAGAAGGAGGAGACGGAGAGCAGCGACGACAACACCACCCAGTACTCCATCCACCCCCCCTTTGACTTCCCCTACTTCCTCCTGCTGCAGGGATACAACCACAGACAGGTAAGACAGAAAACTTATTTATCATGTTTAAAAGGCTTCCAGGTGACAATACAATGTCCAAAATCAAGATGAGATGATCTTAATCTTACTCCTAATGAATTTAAGTGAATGTTTGTTTATATGACGTAAAATAATTCAAGGTTCTTTATTGTAATTCACATCACATGTGGCACATGAGGTGGAACAAAATTGTGTACACAAGGTCCCAGTTACACCCAAAAATAGCAACAATATAAACTATATAAAGAAGAAACAGTATACAAGGATCTAAGATATAAGCTAAACAATAATAATGTAATATAATAGGTTGTATTAAACAGCAGCCTGAACATGAGTCTGTTGTGAGCAGATGGGTATGAATATAGCAGCTTATGGTTAAGACATGAGCAGCATGGATAGATTTTCATGAGTCTAACAGCCTCAGGGTAGAAGCTGTTCCTCAGTCTGGTGGTTCTACACTTAATGCTCCTCAACCTCCTGCCTGAGGGGAGCGGGGTAAAAAGTGTGTGTGCTGGATGAGTGGAGTCCTTCATGATGCAGGTGGTCCTCTTCCTGCATCTGGAGGTGTAGATGTCTGTGATGGTGGGGAGGCTGACTCCCAGAGTGCGCTGAAATGAGCTTGTGTAGTGAAATGAAAGGCTGATGCTGAATTACATTAATGAACTACTTTAATGCCTGTTGGTGAAAATTTGTAGTTGCTGTTGTCAAACTTCTCGAAGCAGTTGTTAAAAATGTACTTTTTAAAATAACTTTTAATTGCAGCCTTAAAAGTTTGTAGAGGTGGGTGTGGTGGGGGAGTACAAATACTTCTTTATAGTTTCTCTGAAGAGTACTTATTGAGCCGAGGCTGCCACCGAGCCAGGATTTCAGTCGACTTCGCTCAGCTGCGTGGGAGCTGCCATAAAATGCAATTTGTTTGTTGTGTTTAATTAAAGCATCGTTGTTGATCAGGCTTTTTCAGACACAGAGTGGGACGTGTGCTCGATTTTATCCAAAATATCCCAAACATGATGTATACGCTGCATGAAGCATTAAGCATATTTATTAATACACCCTGGGTATTTTAGTGTCAGAGTTCTTGTGACTTGTGATTCATGCAGCACTCCTTTAAAAATAAAACATACAAGTTTAATGTAGAATAGTTTCCTGTTGTCTAACATTAAAATGAATCAATAAATAACAGAAAAAGTTACGTACATTTTTAGATGGTTTAACTGAAGAGTCTGTCTCTTAGTTTACCTCACGTCCAAATCTGTGCACTGCCGTGAAGAAGAGACGAGGCGTGGCTCAGACCTTAAAGGGTCTCTCCTGACAACGTGTTTACAGACAGCTCAGCACAGCACGGTGGAAACAAGTGCATGAGAACCTTGAATTGAATGTCTTATGTTAAGAACATCACAGGCTTTTTTTTTTTACCTGCGTGATAAGAGGATTGAGAGAGAAGGAGCATGTTGAACTTCAACATGCATTTCTCAGAATAGCTTTCTGAGGAGTAAATAGACCCAGGAGATCTATTTTAGCTGCCTTCCCCACAGGATAAGCTGTCTGTGATCATGGGCCAACAAACGGGATGAGTTCTCCACAGACTGTAATGGAAACTTCGTCAGAGCATTTGACAGAACATGGAGAGAACCTTGGCGTTTCTCAGTTTGTAAATCAACATACTTTGAACACGAGTTTAAACTGCACCTCGAGACGTCACACTGGCTTACACCAGATCTTTCATAGCAAACCAGAACGGCAGGCTGAGGTTTTGGCTCGGCTCACTCCCAGGAACAGGAACCTTATTCTAGTAATGTTTTTTTTTTTTTATTCCTGCTCACTGGGCAAGATGCTGGTAGCTCTGCAGCTAACTGAGAGGGTAAACTGGGCTGCTCTGTGGCTTATGTCAACCCAAAGCCAAAGAAAGAAACGACACGGGTCTGCATTCTGCCCGTGCTCATAAAACAGGAAGTGAAAGTCATGTTATTGACACTGTTGTCGTAGATGGAGGGGGAAAAACTCAATTAGGACTTCTGCTAACTATTATTTTAATTATAGGTTGAGTTGACAGAGCGCCTCTGGAAGTTCCCCAGACCAAAACTATTTTTCATTTGTTGTACAATATACCACAAAAAACGACTGATATTATTTACACTGAAATAGTTGTATTAGCAAACAGTATGAGTGAAAAGTTGTTGTTTTTTTAATGAAAATAACTTTTAAAGCCATAATAGTTGTCAAAATATGCAAATGTTCAATGTTTATTATTTATTTATTTTGTATATGCATCATAAATGATAAATAACCACTAAATATGTATCATTTACTACCAAACATCTACTGTTATTCATAAAAAATGATCAAAATCATCATATTTTGTTGCCAGTGAATGTGAAGGATATTAAGTCTTGAGAGGAAGTGGAACAGTGGAATCAGAGACACCAGGTCCAAAATGACAAATATAAAGTTCTTTTCTCTTCTTCTGAAAAGAAACAGTGACTAAAAGCTGTAAGGATGAAAATCTGCAGAAAATAACATGTTTTGGGGAAAGTAAGTGGTGGATTGTGCTAAAGCAAAACTTGGAGTAAAGATCATACGTAAACAAGTTGGACTGAGATATTCTGAACTCTTAACGGGATAATTTTGGTAACTGGTTGTAAATGATCACAAAATTTGGTTGTAAACAATATTTGCTGTTTTCTAGTGCAATTTTTACAAAAATCTTTAGTTTGAATTACATTAACTCCAAGATATTTATTTATTGATGGAAAAAGTGTGTTGGAAGCTTAAAAATCCAAATCAAAAACATTGAAAAATTGCATATTTTGACCACTATCATGGCGTTAACAAGCAATTGAAGATCAGATATGACCTCTGACCCAAGCACATTGACGGGATGCTTTAAGTAAAGTAGATTAAAAGAAAAGTATTGTTGATAGCTTCCACTTCCTTCCGTGAAAAAGGTTTGTTTCTGCTGTTGTATGTTTAGTTATTAAAATAAATATTTTGAGGACAAGTTTATAGCATGTTTTTAACCTCTAAGCCACCAAATAATCATTTGTTTAGTTATTAGTTCAAACCTCTGTTGGCATTAACCTAAAATTTAACCAGTGGCAACTAGAAAATGGTAACATTTGTTGCTCCTTCAGCTCAAATGTTTTAACTAAATGGAAGGTTTTGTTGATTATACATCTGTTTTTCAGGATTTTGTCATCTATCTGATGAGTGGAACCACCACCATCTTTGGCTGCTGCAGGGAGCACTGTAACGGAGATGATGAAGAGAGGTTAAAAGTGGACATCCTTCTTTTCGCTCCTGATGTGTTACCACAGCACTGCTGCGTCAAACGCCTGGACTCCAACAACCAAACATCCACAGGAAAGCACAAAAAGACACTAACAATGCTGAAGCCTCTTCATGGTGCTCCTGTGACCAGAAATGGTTTCCTTCTAAAAGAGGAAGTGGAACTGAGCCCAGGGGATTTGGTTGGCTTAGGAAAACACTACTTGTTCATGTTTAAAGATCCTGCCAGTACGTCAGGATCCCTTAACTCTCCATCTTGGATGACCAGACTCTGCCCTAACACTGACGCTTGTTTATCATGTGGCTCCTCCATCACCATTAAACAGTTGCAGAGAAAGCCGTCACCTCCCTGTTGGAGAGATCTGGAAGGCACAGAGGCATCGCTAAGCTACGAGTTGGAGCAAGAAGAAAGAGTTCTTAAGGAGATCCTGGACATGGTGGATCCCAGTGGAAATGTGCCAAAACTGACGCCTGCTTTCCTGCTGATTCTTTGCATCCGGCACTCAGCCTCCACATTCGAGTTAACCCACTTCAGACAGCTGCTGCTCAGAATAGCCAGTCAGATCCAGCTGGTCGCATGGGTAAAGATGAAACTCTACTCTTTAATCAGATAGTCAAGGATTCCTGCAAGAAAAGAGTCACTGAACTGAAAACTATATATTTGAAATTAATATCTTGTCCATATGTTGTAACTTTTCAGGAGAAGACAAAGAAACTTGCTGCAATCCAGCCAGAAATGTGAGTCCAGAAAGTTTTCACGTTTCAGAAATTAAACGCAATAATCTGCTGCCTGTGATAACACAACACCTGATTCCTGAAATATTATTAAATATATATCAAGGACAAAAGCAACAACTTTCGCTAATAATGTCTTTTTTTTTTGTCAAAAAATGTGAGAAAACAATAACTCTATACACAAAAGTTACCAATTTCAAGAAAAAGTGAGTAAAGGAGCAAACCAACTCATGCTCATCCATCATCTTTACCCGCTTCTTCCTTTCTGGGTTGTGAGTGTCACTGGTGCCCATGTCAGTCACTGTGTGAGAGGTGGGGGACACCTGGACTTGTCCCCTGTCCATAACATTTTCAAACATTTTTACAGTTTTGGCATTGTTGTAATAAATTGTTTGTGAATTAACTAGTCTGTTCACAAACTAATTCATTTTATGGATTTTAAAACGTGGCTTTATTGCAAGATTTCTGGGTTTAACCTAAACTATGAATCACCCAGAGATGGAGGGTTGAAGCATGAGAACAGGCAGCAGCTGTAACACACTGTCAACACACATATCTGCTGATATAAAAACATGAATCAGGAGAGCTTGTGTACAGTACAAACAAGAAGAGATGTTTAGTGACCGGTCATCAAATAATAACATGTTAAAATGTCTCCTCAGGCTGGTTTGGTAAGAAGCTCCAACGTTGGACATGTAGAATAATTTCAAACAGAACAATTCCACTGGAGAGAATTGTGTGATAAAACAGATGATTTTAGACTGCTGGGATATGATCAGATGTTCTCTTCTAGCTTGTGAAACTTTTGATCCAGTTAAAATAAGTAATTTCTGTAAAAAAAAAAATCAAATGATCAATTTGTACGTTTTATTTGCGAGTTGAGTTAATCTCAATGGTTGTCCTTTCCTGTCAGGAGCTCCAGTGAGGGCCAGCCTGAAGAGCTTCAGCTGCTCAGCATGAAGGAGCTGATCCCAGGTCTGCAGCCACTGGCGTTGTGGATGGCCAACTCCATTGAACTGCTGCACTTTATTCAACACAAAGTCCCTCAGCTGCTGCCCTGGAGGCAGGGCCACCAGGATGCAGGTGGTTAGACGCACTAACAGCTGTCAGACCTGCGTTTGAATTACCGAGACATACTTTGATGTTTTTCACAGATCTGCTGGACTCTGAGATGTCCTCCACTCGAACAGCCTGTGAGGAAGCCATGACAGTCCTGGAGGAAGTCATCATGTTTACGTTCCAGCAGTCCGTTTATTATCTAACAAAGGTCAGCTCTCGCTCGCATGAACACACACAACGCAAAACTTCAGCTCTACAACGACTTTAACGCGTTTCACAAAGTTTTTAACCTGAGACTCTCTCACACGTGAAGCAGGAAATGCGACTGTGTAAACACGATATTCTGTTTTCGTTGAGCGTGTTCCAGACAGAAAGCACAATAACAGAATGGAAACACAAACTCGGTCAGGAAAAGGCTGTGAGGTAGTAAGTGGGGTGTCTTTTCCACTCGCTCTAATACCCCCACACTGTGATAGCTCAAGCTTACAATGATTTCAAAAGCAGAACCTAAATGCTTGATTTGATAAGAACCTCCACGTGATCATCAAAAGAACATGTGCAGTCTTGTAATTCAGAACCTTTGGTCTTAAACAGCTGGAGATGAAGCTTTCTACCAAAGATCTCTGCAACTGTGTGAAGCATAAAGTTCTGTAAAGGTTTGTCTTTACAGTGAACAGTAAATTACTGTCAGTGTTTTACACACAAACATAAAAACTGGTGCATCTTTATTTCAACAAAATATGGACAAATCGTATAAAATATAGGATTCACCGTAAAAGAGTAAATTTATGTCAGTTATTCGAAAGGTTTTAGGTTGTCACCCCATTCTTGACAGAAACAGGAGCGAGTGTAATGATGTACGGTTGAACCAACACCTCTAAGACTCTTATCATTTAATGATGTCATAATAAATCAGCTGCAGGAAAGACTGAGTTCCAGTACCCAAGGCTTGAAGGGATAAAGTCAGACTGTAGATTGGGGTGTTGCATTTTGTCTAATGTCATTAAAAAGGAAGAACACCACAGATTAAAAAAGCAAGAGGATGAGAGATTAACCTTAATCTACAGTTTGCTTAAGAAAACTAAAACCCTAAAAACATCTACCACTTGGATTTTGACATTTACGCTGATAAAAAAAAAAAAAGTCAAAGTCTAGAGAAGAAATCTGAATTATTTTGACAGACATAAATGTTTGACAGCCCAGCAGGACATCACCAGGCACAAAGATGGTCTGGTTAGTCAGTATGACAGCTCAGATATTTCATTTGTTTACGTCTATTGAAGGCAGCGCAGTTGCTAGAGCTGCCGCCTCTCAGCAAGCAGGTTGCCGGATCAAATCCCTGCCGGGGACCTTTCTGGGTGGAGTTTGCATGTTTTCTCCGTGCTGCGTGGGTTTCCTCCCGGTACTCCGGTTTCCTCCTTCACACCAAAAACCTACGTTACCGTCTGATTTTAAGACCATAACTGACATGAAAATATTCACTTGAAGGCTTAAGAATTGGCTAAAGATAAAGCCGAATTGTACTAATTTTTAAATATTGTAATTGTGTTGACTCGGTAGTTTTAAATACATTGTTTTATATTTCTTTTTCTTCATTTTATTGTATTTACTGTTGATCTTAACTTTTCATTTAACCAACTGTTAAAGGTCCGTCTAGGGACAGGTGTTGAGAATTAACTTTGGCTATCTACAATGTGATGCAGGCATTAGCTTGTCTTGATCTATGTTTCTTGTATCTGTCCCTATCAAATAAAAAAATAATAAAAATGTCAGGCTGATTGGTAACTCTAAATTGTCCCTAGGTGTGAGTGAGAGAGTGAATGGTTGTTTGTCTCTATGTGTCCCTGTGATGGACTGGAGACCTGTCCAGGGTGTCCCCTGCCTCTCACATGACACAGTGATGGCTGGATATGGGAACCAGTGACCCAGAAAGGAATTTGTGGGTAAAAGAAAATAGATAAATGGACACCTATTGAAACATAGCCTTCACCTTTTATCCTTTATAGGAATGCACGCTATTGGATTTTTTGGCCGATATGTTAAAACTTATTTGGCCGATAACCGATGCCGATATTGTATATACGTTCCTTTGTCAGAAGATGTAAAAAATGAAAAATATTTCAGACTGCGGACGATGCAGCGAGTTTCATCGTACTCCATAAATCTTGAGAATCCGACATCCTCACCAACGAAAAATAAAACTTCCACACCGCCGACATTTTGAATTTTACTCTCCGCCGTGAGCTCAGGTAGGCGCATGTGACATCATCACGTTGCGCTGCCGCTGCAGGCAAAAACAGCGCCTTTTATATCGACGAGTTATTTTAATGGAATGGCCATTGTCCGATATTGAATTTTAACACTAATATCGGCCGATACCGATATCATGCTGATAATATCGTGCATCCCTAATCCTTTACTTAGATTTTTACACTTTAATTTTAAAAAAATGTCTGTAATTTTATAAAGTTTCTTTTGGTTTGTTTCAATTCTGACTCAAACACATTAGCAATCAATGCAGAAGCAACTTAACTAATAGTAATGCAGAAATGAACCAGTTGCTGTAATTAGTTTTTGAAGCCTAAAATCACTTCTTATTGTGAACAACCCAAAGCCGACAGCAGAGTAATTTGTTTTAAACATTTGTGGGAAACAGATATTTGTAGCAGCAGAAACGCCACCCTGCATGCTGACTGTCCAAGGAAGGTGGGGAAGGAAACAGGAACCGTCTGTTCTGTTGTTTAGAAATCTCTGAGACTTTTCTAACAATTTTACTGCAAAAAATGTTTTATCATACTGGAAATAAATGCTCCTGTATTGTGTGTCATTTGGTTAAAAAAGTTATTTTCAAAAGCAGATTTTCAATAGTTTCTCTGTTACTTTTAGGATTTATTTATTATTCAGCTCAAGCTTTATTTACCAGAGTAACATATGGAAGTTTTTTTCAACGTAAAAAGTATTCTCTCTATATTTTTATGTTACTGTTCTTGTAAAACAAAAGGGAGGATTCTCCGTAAGCAGCATTCTGTTTCCTGCCGAGGAAAACAAGCTGTCATCAGAAAAATGCTCCAAAGAGAAAAGGAAGGGAGGAGGAGAAAAAGGCACTTTCTGTTAATTTCCTGTGTGAGAGAATGTTCATGATGTGCAGACGTGATTTCCTAACTACGTTTTATTTTTTAGCTTATTTATTAACAAAACAAAAGCGAAGCTGGGCTAATACAGCTTCAGCAAGAAGAGTAAAAACATGGGGGGTTTGTAAAAAGTATTCAGTCTCATGATAAAAATGTTGGCCCGTTTGTTGCCTGTCAGCACTCAGCCTCCATGATAACACCTGCAGAGCTTCACTGTAAACTACCAGCTGACCTGCTGCCTCAGGCATGCAGGCGTTTTAAGGTTTTATTGGCTGATTCAGTTTTCCTGTGGTGATTATCTTAGTCATGGTGTGTGAGGTAGTGTGTGTGCGGTTGATGTCATAGTTGTACAACAATAGCAGTTCTGTGCCAGAACATGAGGTTATGATAAGAGCAGGCACCAAGGTGAGCTTTAACAAAACATTCTGCATTCTGCGCCGTTTACCCTCCTTACCTTTACTGTGTGCACGAAAGCACTGGCTTCTCCGTCAGCCACGTTGAACAGAGCGCAGCACTGCAGGGAGTCTTTCATTATCCTGAAAGTCAGAGGGGGCTGTGCTGGCTCAGTGTTTGCTTTGCTTCCAGGCATTTTGTTTAGACAAACTCCTTATTGAGTATAATCATGTTTCCTGTTGTAAAAATGACCCACTCTTAATAATCACTCAGATCGAGACAGCAGGGATTTTTTACAAACAGAAGCTTGTTATTTCAGTGATAATAAATGCATGAAATTGAATTATTTTAATTACACATTTGAGGAGCCATTAGCTCTGGGCACAGTGGCAGAGCTGATGGTGAATGGTAAAAAGTCAAAAGGGTAAAAAAAAAAGTACAGTATCAACAGAATTATAGCCAACTATAGCCATTATAGCCATTTATCAGCCAACATAAATTACTTCTTTATAGCTAGTAGCTCAAATGAACCACACATCGTTGTATTTTTTTATTTGCTGTTGTCTTTTTGTTGCAAAACAAACTTTTCCTGCAAGGTCTCTTGTACTTTTTGTGACTGCCTGCCTCTCTTCATGTTCTGAACTCTTCACAAACTGATATAACAGATATTTATGTGCCACTAAATGTATTGAAGTATATGAACTGAGTCCTGTAGGGAATGTTGTGATTATTCAGTTCAACATCTCTACAGCGATGTCAAATGTTGCTCTTACAGAGTATGTATTCGGCCCTGTCTGGTCTGCTGGATGGAAACCCGTTCTCAGAGAGCGGTCAGCTGCGAGTTCCTGATGGGCTCAGTAACATTCTGGAGGTGCTCAAAGAGGCGCTGAAGCTCCTGACGGCCTTCCAGGTGCACCCAGACATCTCACTGCAACTCTGCGCCTACCTGTTCTTCTTCATCAATGCATCACTGTTCAACTCCCTCATGGAACGAGGTAAAGTCTCAACTCAGCTCTGCAGCCAGAATCAGAGAAAGTCATTAAACGTTTGCTTTGGCCTTTTGTGCTCTATAAATAGAGATGTCGGTTATTTGGTTGTTTGTGGTACTTGTAAATAAATGGCTCTGTTTTTTTAGCATGTTGACAAGTTTAGACTGAGAAATTTGTATTTCTGCAAAAATGCAGTGAATGCTGAGTGCTGATCTGACTTTGAAGAAGTTAAAATGAGTTAAAGTAAAAAAAAAAAAAAAAAACAATCTAAAATTAGCAAATCGGTACATTAAAGCTAAAATGTGCAAAACTGCAACTAAAAGCTAAAATTAGGAAAGCAAATTATAAAGACAAAAGAGCAAGCATGCTGATGCAGATTTCAAAGATAACAATGTTCTTTTTGATGAAATAGAAGCGTTCATAATGTATTTATATGGGCTGCAGTACGTATTTATTCTCCTTCATCATGTTCCTCTCTTGTTATTGTATTTTTACTTGATAAAAACACAATAGATTTACATCTTCTTAAACTTAGCTTGAAATAGTATTTCTAACATGTCAGACACTTCCCTAATGTAAGACTTCCTGCTTGTTCAGGTTCTGTTGCTGGATTCTACCAGTGGTCCCGCGGTGTGCAGATCCGGGCCAACTTGGACCTACTGATGGATTGGATCCAGAGCATTGGTCTGAGCGATCTGGCCACTGAGTTCTTCCAGAAGCTCTCTGCGGCTGTCAATCTGCTGGCCACACCCAAAGAAACCCTGCTGCAGGTCAGCAGACATCCGTTCCTCTTTTCCTGTTTGTCTTACCACAGGCAGGCATCGTGTTTTCATTGTCTTAAAGGTGTCACTATCTTTATGTATTAGGTGTAAACTGCATTTTATATAAACTTGACTTTTTTTTTTTAAAGCCTTTCGAACACGGCAAAGTTTTTTTTTTCTTTATCATTTCAAAGCAATTATATAATCATTAATACAATAAAAGCTGAGAGAAGTTTTCAGAGGAAAGAGTATGGGTTTATAGGTAAAGTGTCCCTGAGAACATGATGTTCCTGCAGGAAACAGCCACAACAGAGTGAGCAAACACTCTAAAATGCTCAAATCATGACCTCATGATGTCAACGAAGGCGTGGCCATTACCTCAGATTATATGGATGACAGTATATCCTGTTAACTAAACTAATATTTAACTCATCACCATCTCAAATCCAATTTATTTTTCTTCAAGAGGAAGAATGGCATTTTAAGGTTTAAAGATAAATGAAATCTTTGCTGTAAAGGCATCTTGAAACTTCTCACATCTTGCTTTTTACTGCATGTCAGGAAATACATGCTACATCACCGAAACAACACAATATATAAAAGAACAAACGGTTTGTGTGTGATTCAGATGTGATCAGCCTTTGCTGTGCTTCAGTAGCTTGCCAACTTAATCCCTACTTAAGCACACCGTTCTCTGAGTTACTTATTTAGATCTTACAGTTTATATAACTACAAGAAGCAGAGCTCAACTCCTTGATAAGTTTTCAGACTAAAAGAAAAACAAGTAAAATTACTCAGGTATGAAGTAGAAAACTTGTTGAATGGGTCATTCAAGTCAATAAAACCAAAGCTTTTTACTGAGTTCCAGGTTTTATGGCTCCTGAAACGTGACGAAATGGAACAACGTGCTCATTGTTTTTGTGGTGAAGTCTCTGCTGTTTGTTTTTTAGTGACCTCCTATCTTCAGATGCATTCTGCTTTTTTGTGCGTTCTCGTTGGAACGAGGCTTTTAGATCAAATCTTGCGTGTGAAGACAGTTATGTCTTTAGCTAGTTCTTGTGGGACATACTGCACAGACGGATTAGTTAAAGTCAGAGGATAGAAAAGCAGTTTAACTAGGTTCAGGTGGAGGGTTGGTGGGCTAGACGTTAGTAGGTTTTCAACCTTTTCTTCATAGGCTCTTTTATTTAATATATTTTCCAGTTGGTTTTATAACCCTATGAAGCAGCAATACGTTTTTTTTTCCCCGTTTGTGTTCGTTTGTCAGTTTGTTTGCAAAATATTCCAGGAACTAATTGACTGATTTGACTGAAACTTTCAGAAAGTAATCATTGGGTTGACGTCTACAAATGTTTAACTATTGCAGTCAGTCACTCTTAAGATGGCCACCACAGCTAACTAACATGAACAAACACAAAATTAGTCAAATCTCTGTCAGTTCTACAAATACTGAGCTGAGATTTGGTGTGACAGCACGCGAGATTAATCCTCAACACTAAGCACTAAGAGATTGGGCGGGAATTGATTTTAAAAGCCATTAACAACTGTAATGGAATTTGTCAGATTGTTAGTAAAATATCCCATGAGCCACTCAAGGGATTTAAATGAAACCCTCAGAAAACAATCATTTGGTGTACCGTACATCTACAACGGTTTTGTTTTGGGAGTATTTTCCACAGCTCATCTCCCATGTTAGACACAAAAGGGCTGTACCTTAGTGAACATTACAGATAGGGTGGTAGTAGCTGACAGTCACTCACAATACATAACCTTAGCTCCAACAGATCATGCGGTGTATTGGATGACTTGGTGCATAATAATATTTTGGTGATAACTCTGTTATTCCTCAGCATAAAACATTTTCAGTCTAAATGTCTGGCCTGAAAGGCAGCAGGTGGTTTTAATTTATTCAGTGGATCTTACGGCATTTATTCATTATTTCATCTTGTTCTAAAACCAGTGGTGTCCAGTCTTGGTCCTCGAGGGCCACCATCCTGCATATTGTAGATGTTTCTCAGTTAAGACACACTTGATTTAAATAATGGGATTCTTTGGAACTTGAAGGTCTGCTGAAGAGCTGAGAAACAAACGAGTCATTGACATTGGATTCTAGAGTTGTGCCGCTCGGGGTGGCAGCATGTTGGAGCAGCTCTGTTACTTTCATTCTGAGATTTTGCTTTTGAAAACTTTAATTCCTCTTTTGCTGGATGTAAATCACTTTTTTTTTTTTTTTGGATGATTTTTTTCCTCTAGTATCTGGAAGGATTTTTACTGAAACTTTTTTTTTTACTTTTAAACATTTGTTATGATGCGTAACAACCGGGAGCAGCTGATTAACATCTGAAAAGTTCAAATAGTATCTCAACTACAGCCCCAAATCTAAATGAGGCTCCGTGGATGCATTCCCGTCTCCGGGCCAGCTGTGCTCGAGTGTCTGACCACTGAGATCCTGGAACTGGCAGGAAACAACTCGAGACAGCAGAAGGTCCGGGATTGTGCCCCGGCACCTGTCCGCAGCGACGAGGAGCTCAGCGGGCTGCTGGGAGGAGTGACCATCACTCCGGGAGGAGTTCTGCCCGGCGTTCAAGCGGTCCTGCAGCCTGTGGTAACCAGAGGACAGCCGAGTCTGAGTGGACGGATCGGACAGCATCTGTGGCCAGTTACTTCGGATCTGTTGTGGGACAGACCTTTACAAGAGATCCTTCCTGCCTACAGCCATCAGCATCTCTAACATCTCTTAATGAAACGAGGATAATGAGTTACAACAACATTTAATTTCCCTTTGGGATTAATAAAGTATTTTTGAATGTAATGAATTGAAGACGTTCAGAATAGTGGCTCTCGAGGACTGGACGCCGCTGATTTCAACAATTCCTCTCGTTGTTACTGTACCTGCTTTCGGTACCGCACACTTACAGTTCCTGTCAGGGTTATAGCTGACTTAAATTTAAAAAGTCAAATATAGAAAAGAAGTGGCTAAAAGTTACGAACAGAAGTTGAGCAGAGTAATAATTTGATCTCTCGTTGAATCAAACGTCTCGTATGTTTTAGTAAGTGTGAGTGTTGGTTTGACAGCGTTTCACACCTGTTGTTAGCGTATGACTCAAAGTTAAAACACCCACCAGCACAGCTGCTGACAGCTCTGTCTCGTCTCCTTATAGCACGACATGAAGCAGCTAGTTTTATATATGCCCAGTCTGAGATCACTTTGTGGCCGCTACAAAACAGAACACACCCTCAACAGTTTTTTTTTTTTTTCTTTCCATCTGTAGTTCTGAGCTTTAAAAAGCTGCGATGGCTTTGCTGGCACTGCTGTAAACTAAACCAAAGGCATGTGCCCGTTCTTGTTTTGTGAAGAAGATATTTCAGCAGAATATAATGACCAAACATTAAATGTAAGACATAACAAACAGAACATTTATAGGTTTCTGTTGTTTATAGGCAGAGTTGAGACGTTAGTTTTTGTTGGCCTCAGAGACACAACAACACTCGGCTGTGGTTTCAGTTGTGGCCCCGGCATGTCTGCCTAAAGTCTGACTTCCTCCAATTCAGCTGGAAGGCTCTGAATGAACTATATGATGTCTAGTGTTTGTTTCGCAGTAATCACATGAATGCTGTTGAGCGACTCCTTAGTCATCAAAAGACTAAATAATTTCTTTCTCATGCATGTTCAAGCTGCTGTAAGACGATAATCATATCTCATGATGGCTTTCACACGGAGCAGAGAAGATGTGTTGATTAGTGATATGAAACATAACACTCAACATTTTTAACAGCTCAAAAGAAGATCTGCAAGAGAGCCGATAAACACTTAAAGGCTTTAAACGCTTTCACCGGCTATGCATTCAGTTGTGGAAATGTTTTCCCACGAGGCTTTGCTGCCACATCTGGCCTTCGGGTGACAGAGGGGGCAAATTGTGTATTTGTCACATAATCATTTAAAATACTCTGCATGGGCATGAGAGAGCAGCGTTGACTGTTTATGTGAAAACAAGAATGATGGGAAAGTTTTCTGCCACTTTATCATTCTCACGTTGAAAACAAAGAGTTTCTTTAAATAAACTGGGTGAAGTTTATGATGGGGTTTAGAGAAAAGCCTGCTTCGTGTTTCTCAGGGTTCTTTTTGTTTTTCTGTGTTTACTCAGGCGTCCTGGGCTTCTCTCAGGGCTGAGTTCGCTGCGTTGAAACCGGCGCAGCTCCACCACATGTTGAGGGAATACAGCGCCGGTAAGATCTGTCCCAGCGGATGGATCCCATCGCCAGAAGATTCAGAGGACGCTGTCAGGACCGGTGAGCTACAAAACCCCGTGGACCACAACTATTTAATTTATCTGAAGAATCCGTTTTTTGAAACGAGGGCATTTCAAAAAGAATTTTTATCTTCTCTTTTCCTCATATTTTTATATGAACTTTCGAAAGCCATTTGGATAATTTAGCACCTGTTTTTAATTTTAAGGGAAAACATACAGATTATAAAATAACCCATATTTATGTCGTCATCAGTCATTTATTTGTTTATATGACATTATCCAGAACTGTTTTATGATGATTCTGAGTTTATTGGAATTTATTTTGACTATTATAAAATCCAAGTTTTGTTCATAGCATAAAAATTATGTTAAAATGTATTTAAATGTTGAGTAAATAAATTTACTTCCATCAATTTTCTGTTACTGAGAGACATTTTTTTTTAGCAGTTTCTCTTCAGGACAGCCTTTATTACAAAAATCTGGAATAACCATGTTCCTTATTGCACGAACCAGAACAACTCTTTATGTGGCTTCTATGTTCAAACTTGAAAGCTGAAATGTGTGATTCCACAAGACTTACTGATAAATAACAGGAAGTTTATTAAGATAATGAGTAAAAACGAGAGAGCTGAACTCCATCACCTTGAAGTTGTAACTTCAGTTGACAATTTGTGCCGCTTGTTTCTGGTTTTTATTAGAAACATCACGTTCTCTGCTGCCCTAAACCTCAAGAACCAAGCCAGCACCTTAAATTTTAAAACTCCTGGAGGCCACTTTAGTGTTAAACCAAACAAAAAGGAATGAAAACGTTTCAGAATTAAACAGCTTAATGAAGATACACTGATTGTTCCTCTAAATCTTTTTCTGCCTGCCAGTCTTCACCAATCAGCTTCATCCTCTTCCAGCAGGACAACAGCCACAAAACTCTCTGTTTAGTTTTTATTTGCTGCTTCAGTCAAATGTTCTGCTTCCTGCAGGATCAGACCAGAGCTTCTGATCTGGTTCTGGAGCCGTCGTAACTTTTTATTCATTTACTTGTTAAGCCAGCATGCGTAAGAGTACAGGATTGAATTTCATTAGCGAGCTTTACTGAAGCTGTTTGTGAGGGTAATAATGTCTCATTCTCTTTGCAGCAGACATCCTGGAGAGCTTTGATAACCACCCGCCGCTCATCCTGCCCACGAGCACGTTTCACCTGGAGCTCGATAAACCTATAGTGGAGTCAGCGCTTTTTGAACAGCTCGCTCATCTGCAGGAGATCATTCACCGGCTACCTGCCAATGAAACTCAAACTAAAAGGGATGGAGACCAACAGGTAACAAGCTCTTTGACCCAACTAACATAACTAGAAGCCAGAGGCGGTCAGGAAGTGAGGTACTTTGATGGTTTTACATGTTATTGATTAACTTCATGTGCTCCAAACTCAGGCTGCTAATGTGACGAACACAGACAGTCCCACAGAAAACTCACCCTGCACAAGAGTCTTTAAGGATCTGGCCCATCAGGTGGTCTCTGAGGCTTCTACTTGCCCCTGTCCTGAGGTAGACCCCAACTGCACCTCTCCTGGAGAACCATCGCAGGCCCGAGGATCTCACGGGGACCTAAGCAGCTGTGAAGCAGTTCTTGCTCAGAAGCTGAAGAGCCTGGAGCTGCAGAACCACCTCCCCGGACAGGACGACATGAGCTACCACAAGAGCCTGGCTCTGGACCCGTCGTGCCTGCTCACTCCACCCAACACCCCACAAGGGATGGAGCTGTCTGAGCTGGAGGCTGATCTACAGGAGGGCGCCCGCCAGCTAAAGAAAGGTAACTGGAGGCAAAAGTCACATAAAAAGAATTTGTTCTAAACTATTTGAACCATTTCCCTCCATTTTGAAAGTGACTGTGTTCTGCATGTTTTCAGGGCGAGTTGAGTACTTCACTCAAAACAATAAAAATAATTTTCTTGTGTAACTTTACAGAACACCACACACACACATGCACACACTCTGTGATGAACTGAACTAAACTATTAATTTATAATGAACAACCCCAAAACGTAGGCTTCCACCTCAGAATAAACTGAATATGTTTTTGACAGCACGTGTTCTTTAAAGTGGTTTTAAAATCCAGAGCAGCTGAAAGATATTAACTGAAACCTGACAGCAGTCGATGGTAAAGAATGTTCACAGAAACCATGAAACAAAGAGGAAACCGCTCCGGCTCCACACATGATGACAAGTCAACTCACAGCTGCGCTACTTCAGATCAAACACTGTCCCGTTACTAACGCCTGGAACAAAATCTACTGGAGTCATTCCTCCTTAAAGCTTTTAACTTTAACTCAGGAGTCTGCAACATTTAAAACTGCAAAGAGTCAGTCTCTCCTACTAAATATAATCTGGATAAAACCACATGATCAGCTTGAACCCTAAAAGGAGAATATGTTTTTACATTCATATATACTGTATAGTGCACTTTATGATGCTTGGTGACAGTTTGTTTTTTAAGTGTTTAGCAGGAAAAACACTATTTGGATTTAAACAAGGAAATGACGATTTTGTTTAGAGTTATGCAAATTTTTTCCACTGAGGGACAGACAAAACATTTAGTTGCATCTTACGAAGAGCAAACGTACAAAAATCAGGTTGTTTGTTGTTTATCACATAAATATGCTCAAAAAACAAAATCTTTATATTTGAAGGCTCTTAAGGTAATGTACTCGGGTTTTTATTGGAGGCAGTTTTTTTTTTTTTTTGTTGTTGTTTTTTTTTGCAGCTTGTTAGTCCTACATCATTTTCCAAAGCCTTAAAATCTGATCATTTCCAATACCTGTTGGAACTGTTTTCTGCTTTGTCTAAAATATAAGAAAAAACTTAATTTATGAGACATATGAGCAAAATTCCACTTTTATCAGAAATTTACAATAATGAAGCGGAGGACACACTAACTAGTAGCTCAACAAAGAAACCGATTACTACATTTTAAGAGTCAGAGTTTATTTATTTGTCATTTGCACTACATGCGGTACATGTGGTGGAACGAAATTGTGTACACAGGGTCCCAGTTACATCCAAGAATAAAATGTAAATGAAAAACAGCAATAAGATCTAAGATATGAACTAAGAAAAACATTAAATAAAAATACGCCTAGCACTAATAGCATCAAAAGAATATGCCGAACAGCAGCACAAACATGAGTCTGTGTGAGCAGATGAGTATGAATGGACACATCAACATGAAACAGATCAGCAGCAACATGAATCAGATCAGCAGCAACATGATGTGATTTTTCACAGTGATTATTCTGGTTAGAGATTCATGAGTCTAACAGCCTCAGGGTAGAAGCTGTTCCTCAGTCTAGTGGTTCTACACTTAATGCTCCTCAACCTCCTTCCTGAGGGGAGCGGGGCAAAAAGTGTGTGTGCTGGGTGAGTGGGGTCCTTCATGATGCAGGTGGCCCTCTTCCTGCATCTAGAGGTGTAGATGTCTGTGATGGTGGGGAGACTGACTCCGACAGAATTCTGTGCAGCCTTCACCACTCTCTGCAAAGCTTTTCTTTCTGCAGCTGTGCAGCCTCCATGCCACACGTTTATGCTGGAGCACAGGATGCTCTCCACTGCACACCTGTAGAAGGAGGTGAGGACTGAGCTTCCCAGACCAGCTCGTCTCAGCCGTCTGAGGAAGTAGAGTCTCTGATGAGTTTTCTTGATCAGGCTGGTGGTGTTGTTGCTCCAGCTGAGGTTGTCATTCATGTGTACACCCAAGTACTTGTAGCTGGAGACCACTTCCATCGCAGATCTTCCTATATTTGGGGGGGGGGGGGGTGTTTGTTCCTTCTGAAGTCCACTACCATCTCCTTCGTCTTATTCACATTGATGTGAAGGTTATTCTTGCACCAGCTCAAACGCATTCAAACACATTTTATCAAAACTTTAACCCATATGTAGCTTAAATAAAGAGAGGTTGTGTATGCAATGCATTTATAATCTTACATGATGTGCCTGCTAATCAATATTAAAAATTAGTTCACAGGCAGACAAAAATAATTTTCTTATGATGTCATTCTGCTGCAAAAAGTCTAGGCAGAGATTGGAAAAATTCAGACGTGAGATTAGTAAAAATATATTTCTCTGTTAAATGTAAGCATGACTCAGGTGGATGTTATTTGGCTGCAGGCTGCATGTGTGGCTGCAGATCTGCTCCAACTAATGAAGGCTATTAAAAATGTAGCGGCTTGACCTTGTGGACCGGCTGCATTTTTGTCCCCGGCCGTTCCAGGTCCACATGAAGGTGCTCAGACATAAAAGACAAGGAGCCTCCTCCCTTCATCTTTTACTGACTGTGGGGGTCAAGAATTTCAAGTGGAAGACTGTGCAGGGTGGGTTCACTGCGCAAAGGAAAGACTGCTTCCTCTCCCCCACCCCTATTGTTTCTGGACGCCTCCGTCATGAGGTCATCATGAGTCAGAAGAACAGGGACCGTTTAAAACGAAAGCTGAATGTTCTGTGCTCTCTGCGTCAGGAAGTTGAAAGGAAAACACCGCATCCTGTCGAAGAACGCGTTCGTTGGACATGTCTTTGGAAACATGTTGTGTTTGACTGACCTGATGGCCAGAGGTCCACCCAGAGACTATATATAAAAACACGACAGCTTTTTCTAAGGTGAAGCCAAATGATCTCAATCTCCCTCCTGGTTGCAGTGGGTCCTGACTCCGCCTCTTTTACGTTAGCAGATGGGACTTGAGCCAACTAAAGCATTTGGAGCAACACTTGAAATGGTTTATGTCTACAAGCTTCTCTGTCTTGGGGGCAGAGGTAGGGCAGCCGACTTGGGACTAGAAAGTTGCGGATCGACGCCCAGCCATTCCCACATGTCGTAGTGTCTCTGAGCAAGACACCCAATTCCTAACTGCTCCCCGGGCGCTCACCAGCTGCCCACTGCTCCACCTGGGTGTGGAGGTGTGATGGGTTAAGACAACACATAGCACTTTACTTAAAAAGTGCAAGAAATGCTTTAAAAATTACATTTCCAGTTTGTATGAGGAAAATTACAAACTTACAGAAAATCTGTTTTTAATTCTTCCAACCACCCCCCTCCCCAGTCCTGAACACTGGAAAAATTATGTATTTAAATAACCTTTGAATTATATTTTACCTCTGAAATGTCAAAGATAACATCTCACAACAACAGTCTCCTTCAGTTGGTGCTGATGTAACGCCGATTATTTGCAGCCTTTTCCTTTTTTTATTTAAACTATTTAACTTCTTGTTTTCCCTCCTCTTTGTCTTTTTATAGCTGTTATATTTGAGCATCTTATAAAGTAGTATAATTAGATGAGCCACGTTTTATTGGTCAAGAAGAAACCCTAAATGTTTTTAATTAGTGAATTAAAGTGACTCATTTAAAGGAAAGAACAACACTTCTGGTTTTTTGTGTTCATTTGGTTCAATTACATAAAAAAAAAAAAAAAAAACTCCATCAAAGTCAAAAGTCACAGAGTGAAGTTTGACTCCATGTTGAAATGAAAAGTTAAATAGTTTCTATTTTAACCATATCTGTGGTGGATTCAGATGAAAGGGTGCTCTGCTGCAGGATCTGAAGCAGACTTTCAGAAACTCGTGGTTCTGGTTCACCCCGTGTTAATGCGCTCCATGACAGACCCCCTCTGTGTGCTTCTGTGCCCCGTACAGGTTTAAGCTGCAGGATTTTGTTGATCTTAATCAGGTGTCTTTACTCTCTGTGGTTCTTGTTGCCTTGTGCTTTTTTTTTCCCTCAGTGCTTTTGTTAAAAACACTGAGGATTACGCTGAAACCAAACCATCTGCCTGCAGGGCCTTAACGACAGGTAATTCCTTAACCTGTCTGCTGGGAGGAAACAACTGTTGATCAACTGAACAATTATTCAATTAAACTAATTGATTCACCCAAATGTTTCAACTTAATTAGCTAATGATTTAAAAAAAATAAAACTTTAGATAATCTGTTAATTATGCTTTTAGCATGAAGGAACACTCGCCTGCTTTTTTCTTTGTTTGATAGACTAAAGTTCTAAAGAGTCTCTTTTTTCTGTAGAAGGTTTTATTGAGTGTTTTCCACAAACTGCTCTGGAATCATTAAATCAGTTTTGGTGTGGTAGTAGGTGAGAGTCATTCCTACACATCCTCTAAACACTGACAGAGTGACATGAAGCGAACGGTCAGATCGTTCCACAAGCAGAAATGTAACCCAGGGTGAGCTAACCTCCAGCAAGCAAACTAGTGGTGGAGGTAGTGAAGCTGATGGTGTTACCTGAAGCATTTATTGAGGCATTTCTGTCTTATCCACCAACGTTAAGGCAAATAAGACAGGAAAGAAAAAAACTATTTAAGATAATAACTTAAAATAGTTACTGCAGTAAATGTTTTTATGCCGCAGAGTGACACAAGGCGAGAATTTACAGTGAAATTCAGAATGTAAGAGTGTAAACTTTACATAACGCAACCTATTAAACACTTTGTACAAAATCAGTTTAGTGTTACAAAAACTAAACTGATTCAACCAGAAGTTACAACATATATCTACATACACAACACACAAAACAAAGCACCGCTAGCTTTAAGCTTTAATCTTTAATTTAACCGTTAAGCATGCAATGTAATGACAGAAAATGGAGGATTTACCTGCAGTTACCTTCGTACAAATGAACGTGGTACTTCCTGTTTATCACTGTTGTATTCAGCTGATCATTAGGTTGAATGCCAGCTTCATCATCGTTTACATTTTTTCAGACTCCGTTTAGGTTTTGCAAATGGAATAGTCCACCTTCTTAACATTCAGGGTAACACATCTGAATTGCATTCATTCAACCTTTATTGATATAGGTTAGTCTCATTGAGTCACGAGGACTCAGAGTTCCCCACTGACATTTAACCATTTTATTTCAGAATTTTTTTCATTAAATCCCTCTGACTGCAAAGCGTACGTAATGCAAAACCCCAACAATGTTGTTGGGGGATAAAAGAGTGCAGCTCCTGCAGGAAAGGGGCGTTTCACTTTCGGACAAATTGCGATCGCTGATTGGTCAGTTGCTGACGAGCCTGCTGGATTGATTGACAGATGATGTCATGTCGATTGGGTGAAAGTTTTTTGCAAGGCAATGGGAAATATGCATTCCTTAAGGAATGCTAGTTTTATCTTTTTATTTGTTTTGTTTCTAATGTAGAAGTTTTCCCACTGTTCAACCACTTATAGGAGGATTAAGAAGCTTTTCCTTCAAAATAAACATGTTTTATTAACAAGCTGAAGACGGCTCGAGTTACACACAACTCGTTTTCTCGCTACAAACCAGTAGTTTTAAAACAGGCTAAGTTTTATTTAAAGTAAATATTAATTCTGCAGCTGACGTAAGAAAGCTTTCGATCCCCTTCATCCTCGTCTGCACACAGAGCTGTGCCTCAGCCTCCACCACATCTACCTCTGTGGTTGTGATGAACGGACAAATGTTATTTTCAAAGTTTGGTAATCCTTTAATCTGAGCAGAGGAGCTACAGAGAGGTGGTGATGTCAGGAGAGAAAAGAGTAGTGGCCGATCTGTCATGGGAATTTACAGCTGGGTTGGTGCGTGGAATCTTAATCGGCGGCAGCATTGTTCAGGACAGGTCCTGCGTGGGGGGCAGACGGGCCGCATGTTGGGAAAAGGCAGGACGGGGAAAGGAGGGGAGAGGAACCGCATGGGTGGGAACAGTTTTTTTTTTGTTTTGGGTGGCGGGGTGTAGAAGAACCAGTCCTGTTAATCACCACAGAACCACCCGGCTGTCGCTTCTGATTTCAGATTTATTTATTCAGAACAGAAACTTTCTGACCGACAGGTTTTACTTAAAGTTGCAGGGTTGACATCCAACTGTTGTGACTAAAGTAATAATAATAACTAAAGCTGTTTTAAACATGCACGCCCTTAAATATGAGTAAAGATTTAGAGAGTCACATATTCTTTATTGTCGTTCGCACCACATGTGGTACATGTGGTGCGAACGATATTATGTACACAGGGTCCCAGTTACATCCAACAATAAAAATGTAAATGAAAAACAATGATAAGATCTAAGATATGAACTAAGAAAAACATCAACTAAAAATACACTAAGCACTAATAGCGTAAAAACATTACGTCGAACAGCAGCACGAACATGAGTCTGTGTGAGCAGGTGAGCTTGCATGGACACATCAACATTGAAACAGATCAGCAGCAACATGAAACAGATCAGCAGCAACATGATGTGATTATTCTGGTTAGAGATTCATGAGTCTAACAGCCTCATGGTAGAAGCTGTTCCTCAGTCTAGTGGTTCTACACTTAATGCTCCTCAACCTCCTGCCTGAGGGGAGCGGGGCAAAAAGTGTGTGTGCTGGGTGAGTGGGGTCCTTCATGATGCAGGTGGCTCTCTTCCTGCATCTGGAGGTGTGGATGTCTGTGATGGTGGGGAGACTGATTCCATCAATCTTCTGTGCAGCCTTCACCACTGTCTGCAAAGCTTTTCTTTCTGCAGCTGTGCAGCCTCCATGCCACACGTTGATGTTGGAGCACAGGATGATCTCCACTGCACACCTGTAGAAGGAGGTGAGGACTGAGCTTCCCAGACCAGCTCGTCTCAGCCGTCTGAGGAAGTAGAGTCTCTGATGAGCTTTCTTGATCAGGCTGGTGGTGTTGTTGCTCCAGCTGAGGTTGTTGTTCATGTGTACACCCAAGTACTTGTAGCTGGAGACCACTTCCATTGCAGAGGCTCTTTGGTTCAGGGGGGTGTAGGTGTGTTTGTTCCTTCTGAAGTCCACAATCATCTCCTTTGTCTTCTTCACATTGATGTGAAGGTTATTCTCTCTGCACCAGCTCTCCAGGTGTTCCACCTCTTGCCTGTAGCTGGACTTATCATTGTTTGTGATGCATCCCACCACCGCTGTATCATCTGCAAACTTTACACTGTGACAGCCTGGATGGGTAGCTGCACAATCATACATGAGCAGAGTAAACAGGAGGGGGCTCAACACACATCCCTGAGGAGAGCCAGTGCTGAGGGTTATGGTGGAGGAGGAGAAGTTGTGGATCCTCACTGACTGTGGTCTGTTTGTTAAAAAGTCTAGTACCCAGTTGCAAATGGAGGAGCTTAGTCCTAGTGTGGATAGTTTGTCCATCAGGGTTTGTGGGATCATGGTGTTGAAGGCGGATGTGAAGTCCACAAAGAGCATACGTAAGAGTCTTTCTGCTCCAGTTGGGTGAGAGCAGTGTGGTCCACAGAGGAGATGGCATCCTCTGTTGATCGGTTCTCGCGGTATGCATACTGATGAGGGTCCTCATTTAGGCAAATGTAGCAACTTTAGAAATGGTTTTTAAGATCTAACCATCAAAACACCAGGAAAAAAAAAAAATTACAATAGAATCAAGAATTTCATCAATAAAACCCAGAGTTTTAAAGTTTTTTTTCCCTTAAAATAAGTTGGAATACAATTTTAGAATAAACATCTGGCATTCATTGAAGGAATGCATATCGCCTGCTGCCTTTGCGACAGCTTTAGTTCAAGATGGCCGCCACAGCCACATGTAAGATGCATTATAAGTATGTGCTAAAGATGCAGTGTCAGCTACAGCTGCAGGTGTATAACCACTGATTACTTCTGAGTTTCATTGGTTCAAGAGATGTTTTGCTAACAATCAGGTCTGACACCAAGAGTTAAAATGAAAGTTTTAGGCAAATGTAATGTTTAGAGCGTGGAGCAGGTGTTGGGAATGACCATCAGCTACTACCACACCACATTTTAGCTTAATATCTTTAAATTTGGCAAAGTTATAATTACAGTTGTAAAATTCATCCAGTAGTCCATGAGATATTTTACTAACAATACAGATAATGAACATGGGCAAAACCATTATAGCTGTACCTTCACCATTGTCGGCGACTGTTCTTTTTAAAAAAAAAAAAAAAAACTTTATTTGACCAGGAAAAAATCCACTGAGATTATTAATCTCTTTTACAAGAAAGTCCTGGGCAATCTGCAAATACAGCAACACAGACTTAAGAACAGAAAAATTAAAATATTTATAACAAAACATCCGTCAATAAAACATAAGGCATCAGTTTTATAAAAGTGAACGTTTTTAAAGCCAACCCCAGCAGGAGCAGATCCAAACAGAGTTTTGATCTGATGTGTTTTCTGTTTGTTCAGTCGGTGGAAACTCTGCGACAGGAAACGGGGAAGCAGCGGAGGACAAAGAGGAAGTGTTCACAGTGGAGATCCACAGAGGGCCACATGGTTTGGGACTGGCGCTCGTAGATGGAACGGTGTGAAAACGTTCAAGTATTTTCACCTCACAGCTCTGGCTCAATGTTTTACAGCTAATCTGAGTCAGAACAGAGCTGAACAAACTGACTCTAAGGTTTGATCTGCGGTTCTTAGCAAAAGGCTAAATTCTTAAGGGATTCTGAAGGTTATTGGAAGCTTTTCTTTATTTCTTGTTTTGTGTTCAGTACCTGATCAGGTCAAAAGAATTGTCTTCATCAACTCAAGCAATCAACCAGTGTTGGAAATCTTTCAGTATCAATTCACTTGTGGAAAAAAAAAAAAGTTTTTAGCAAATTAAAAGCAACAAAGCACCTAAATAAAAACAAAAACATGGTTTAGCCGCTAAGATTTAATGGGAAAAGATTTTGGACTTGAGTGCATTCTGTTAGTCAGTATATTCTTGTTACATAATGTTTTTATCATGTTTATATCTTCATTTAGAGAACGCCTCTGAGGATGAGTGGCATTTATGTGAAGTCGGTTGTTCCTGACTCTCCAGCTGATCGGTGTCAGAAACTGAAGACGGGGGACCGGATCCTGGCTGTAAACGGCGTCAGCCTGGTCGGGATGGAATACAACGTGTAAGTTCACAACTTTATATCTGAAATGAAAAACACAATAAATCACTTCAGTTTATTTAAACCCGTTTACAACCAAAGTCATCCCAGGGTACTCTGTGATTAAAACAAGTCCAAATACTGATCCAGATCATGAAATACATTCACATACAGTTCAAGATGAAATATCAATTACCGTGCATGGGAAGATTTTAACAAATTTAACAAGATTAACACCTAAAATAATTTGTTTGCTCGAAAATATAGTAAAGGTGAGTCTCAGTTTAACTTATGCTTAATAAATGCACTTTGACGTCAAATCAGCTGCATTTCAAAAGCCGATACGTGGAAGCGGGAGCGTGCAGAGGGAGAACTCTCTGTGCAATTCTTCGAAATTTAACAAGATAAGCACCTAAAACAATTATTTGTTTGCTCGACATTATAGCAAAGGTGTGTCTCAGTTGAACTTTTACATAATAAATGCACTTTAATGGTCAAATTAGCTGCATTTTGCCGGGGCGGTGCAGCAAAATAAAGCTGATTTGACGTTTGCTCCAGACAGACGACGGTGGCAGGCTATGGCAAGCCGAATGGGGGGAGTGGTGGCGCAGAGGTTAGAGAAGGTGGGCCTGTGATGGGAAGATTGCCGGTTCAAGCCCCGGTACCGACAACATAAAAAATGTGGGTGGGGTAGGTGAAGCACCCACACCTGCCCCCACCCTCATTTGCCCCACTCTGGGCCCTTGAGCAATAATCTGCTCCCTAAACAGGTCTCTCTTGAAAATGAGTTCTCATAGCTCAATGAGACTACCTGGATAAATAAAAGGGTAAAAAAAAAAAAATTGAATGTATCATTAATAGCCACCTTTACCTATTACATGACACAATGGCATGCCATATCCTGATGCATGCTCAATTGATCCACTCTGATAAGGAGTTATTTAAGAGACTGAGCTGAAAACAGCACCTCAGACTGAGGAAGTCTCTTGGATGAGAGACGAAACGTTTCTAGATTTTTTTTGCTTTGTTTTTTTTTTTTTTTTGAATGTCCAGAGGACCAGATTGAACTTGTTTGGAATGGCATGCCATATTACTCAAGTGCCATCTAGCGGCTGAAAATGGTAGTGTTCAATATTTTCAGTCAGAATGAATGAAAACGGTTGTGTCTCAGCCAAAAATTGGTTTATAAATATGGGAAAAAATCCATATATACGTTGCTTCGGCGTATAAGTCGCAGGGCATGTAAATTATGCAAAAAACGTGACTTATAGGCAGAAAAATTCTGTATTTAAAGTTGTCTATAAGGAACTCAGCAGGTTGGATTGAATTTTACGTTTATTCCCCATCCTGAGCAGCGCGTAGGTGACAGCGTAAAGGAATGACTCCTTTTAAACAGGAAGAACCCTCCATCAGAACCAGAACCAGGCTCAGTACGAGCGGCCAGCTGCCTCGATCAGCTGGGGTTTGAGAGGACAGGAAAGAGACAACTGAACAGGGACAGGAAAGAGACAACCGAACAGGGACAGTTGGTCCATGTGTGGTTCCTTAAAGGAGACCGACCTGAGTCATCACAGAGTTTTAGGAATTAAAGCAGAGGTGACTTGGATGCATTTACAAACAACGTGTTTAAAAAAGTGCTGCTTTCTCTAACATTGACATGTCAGAGGAAACGTTTTATCTTCATTAATTATTATGACTCGGTCTCGGATCTCACATCTTGTTTCATCTTCTCCTTCCAGCGGCAGAGAGTTGATTCGATCATCAGGAGACTCTCTCAGGCTGCTGGTTGCAAAGATTGACGCAGAAACAAGCAGCAAGACTTCAGTTACAACTAAATGCTGAAGGCAGAGCTCTGGTGACAAAACAGTCCATTTTTAACGGGATGGACTCTCCAACCTGTTTCCTCTGCCTCCATTTTAACTCTGTCAGTTCATTTCCTGTTCCTTGAATGTTTCTTGTGTGAAAGCACCGAAACGATCAACTAAAGCACCGTCTGATCTGTGATCTCACACCAACCACCGGCTGCCTGGCGGAGAACATCATCTTTAAAAGCTCCTTTCTGCTGTCTCCACCTCTGGACTAAAAGCAAACTGCTTGTACAGCGTGAGCAGAAAACAGGCGTCTGCTGATTTGAAGGATTTGATCTCATCTGTCTGAGGATCACTGAGCTGCTCCTGGATCTGTCGTCTCCGGCTTTAACTGGAAGCATTTTGACACTTTCTGTTAACTTATGTCTACTTCAAATGTGACACTACATTTTACCAAAGTTTTTATTTTATTTTTTTTACTTTATCCAGTTCTTTAGTTTATTAGAAAGGTAAAAATATGTATATTTGCCAAGTGAGTATGGAGGGGGCATTATTTAATCTGTTTCTGTTAATTGTATAATTTTCAAAAAGTGACACCAAAAATAATTTTCATTAGGAACACCAATACATTACCAATTTCAAAATGTTTGTGATACATTGCAAAAATCCTTTTGAATTCGTAGAACTGTGTTTGTTTTCTGTGTAACGTCTCTAAACCTGCAGAGGGACGTCGCACGGCAGCACGTCAGACATCGGCTGACAGGAAATACCACAAAAAGACGTTTATCGTTTTAAAAACCTTCCAGAAGCTCGTTGTTGGTCTTCAGAATCCCAATGGTTACATCAGTCGTTTCTGCAGGAGTTCAGTGAAATGACTGACGTTTATTTCCCCCGACGTTTGTTGTTTTCTTTAATTTACCTCTTGGAAAGCAGTCTAAATGATTTCCAACAACGCGACAGCAATATAAGCGCATAAAACGTCTTTTATTGGTTATTTCTGCTGAAATTTACTCAAATGGTCTCAAGATGAAACCCTTCTGCTGCCAAAACAATCAGTCTACAAATTTAAACTTTTCCAACCTTGTATTGGCAAAAAAAACTCCTTTATAAGAATTGTATCAAGTTGTTAGTTTGAATATATTCTAGTGCACAAATGAGTCTTGGGCTCTCACATGTTGACGTGACACTAATGTGTAGCAGGTGGAATGAAAGAAAGCTGCTCTGTTAATAAAACTGGTTTTAGCTCCTGAGCAGCTTATACATATTGGGAGTCTGTTTCTGTGTAAACAGTGTTAACGTTCACACAAAGTATTCTTCTTTTGTAATATTTATATTGTGCAGTATTTTTTTGAAATAAATAAATGTTATTTTGTCTTTGAAAGCCGTCACTGTGTGTGTTTGTGAGCAGGAACAGCAGCAGGGTCTGGGTGGAGCTGCAGGGTGTGTCCTGTGGTTTCCATGATCCCAGCACTTTTCACCGGCTCCAGCATGGCACAGTTCAGCCTCCATCCACCCCCACCCCCACCCGAGGCCCCAAGTTAAAACGCTGCTTTATGGCGGTACAACCCACTGACTTGATTTACATCCCTGAGTTTAGAAAGTGAAACTTCCATCCCCCTTTAAGACCTTTGAATTTACCTTTAAACATTGCTGATTGATTACTTCTCCGTGTTTAGGCTTCAAATGATCTTTGTAGTGTTCAAAAACAGGAATGTAATAATTTAAGGCATCAAGGCATTTATCAGAGCAATAAAGATGAGGGTCAGATAAAGGTACAAATTGCAAAGCAATAAATCAGAATTAAAAAGGTTATCCTAAACACCAATTCCTTATAAGTTGGGATGCTGTGTAATATGTAAATAAAAATAAAATGTAATTAACTGCAAATCTTTATTTTATTCCAGTGAAACATATTTAGAAACTAAAAAATTGGGCCTTTTAATTTTTATCAGGTAATTTTGAATTTGATTGCTGCAACGGAGCTCATAAAATAGCCATGGGATAACAAAAGGCTGGAAAAGTGTTACACATAGGAAACAGCTGAAGGAGCTCTTTGTAACAATAAAAGGACCAGACAGTTTTGGAGATAATCAAAAGTAAAGGTGAGCAAAGGTTCACCCGAGTGATGAAAATGTGTGTTTAAAAATGGAAGATGTTCAGAAATGTTCCTCATTAAAAGGTTTGGAAGACTGAATACCTCATCGTCTAAAGTTCATAATGTGAGAAGATTTGAAGAATGTGTAGAAATCTCTGAGCTCAAAGGATGAAGCTGAAAGTATTAGATGCTTGTGATCCTCCGGCTCACTTCATTATAAACAGGTCTGGTTCTGTTCTGGGCTCAGGAACACTTCCACAGATCATCATCTGTGAACACAGTTCATCCACAGATGCTGCTTAAAGCTCTATCAGGCAAAGAAGAAGCCAGGTGTGAACATCCAGAACCGCTGCCGTCTTCTCAGGACCAGAGCTCATGAAAATGGACTGAGGTGAAGTGGAGAACCGTTCTGAGGTCAGACACATCCTAGTTTCAGTTTTATTTTGAAAACCATAGATGCCACATCCTTCATCCTAAAGAGGGAAAACACAAAACAGCCTGTTATCAGAGCACATTTCAAAAGCTGTCATAGTTGAAAGAAAAAGAAGGCGGACCCTGTCCCAGTCTGTGCTTGGTTTGGGTGGTGACCTATGCTGAGGATATTGTTGAGCGGTGGAAGGAGCACTTTGAGGATCTCCATAATCTACCCACCATGTCCACCTTTGAGGAGGCAGAATCCATTACCATGGTAGAGGTCACCGAGATACAGGTAGTGAAAAAGTACCTCGGTGGCAGGGTGCCAGGGGTGGTCAAGATTCACCCCAAGATGCTGAAGGCTCTGAATGTTGTCACTGTTGAAACATCTCTTCAATGTCGAAGGAAGGACTGGGACGACGCCTGTGGAGTGCTTCCCATTTTTAAAAAGGGGGAACGGAGAGTGTGTTCCAACTATTGTGAGATCACACTTCTCACCCTCCCTGAGAAGGTTTACTCCAGGGAAGGAAGACTCCAACCGATTGTCAAATCTTGGATTCAGGAGGAGCAGTGTGGCCCATCCTGGTCATGGAATAGTGGACCATATCTTCATCTTTTGCAGAGTTGCTAATGGGATCATGGGAATTTGCCTCTCCAGTCTACATGTGTTTTGTGGATCTGAAGAAGGATTATGACTGTGTTCCTCAAGACATTCTGTGGGGGGCACTGCAGGAGTATGAGGTGTCTTGGTCGCTTTTAAGAGTATCCATTCCCTGTATGACCAAAGCAGAAGCTGTGTCTGCATCCTTGACACAAAGCTGAGCTCATTCTCCATGCAGATTGGACTCCACCAGGGCTGTCCCTCGTCAGCCGAAATGGGCTTCCTTCACAGGGGTGCCCGGGCTTAGGGGGGTGAGGAGCTCCGAGTAGAGCCGCTGCTCCTTCGCATCGAAAGTAGTCAGTTGAGGTGGTTCGGGCATTTGATTAGGATGCTTCCGAAATGCCTCATTATAGAGGTTTTCCAGGCACGTCCCAATGGTTGGAACCCCCTGGGAAGACCCAGAAGTCGCTAGAAGGATTGGCCTGAGAATGTTGTGGTGTCCCCCAGGACGAGCTGGAAAGTGTCGCTGGGGAGAGGGATGTCTGGGTTTCTACCTGACTATGGATAAACAGTAGAAGATGGAGATGAATATTTCAAAAGCCTGCCTCTCAGATGGTATGGGGATGCATTAGTGCCTCTGGCATGGGCAGCGTACACATCTGGAAAGGCTCCATATACACGCAGAAAAGTAAATACATGTTTGCGGGGGGAAACACAACTTATGAGATTTGCAATTCGTTGCATTCTGTTTGTATTTACACAACATCCCATTGATTTCTAAATTGGGCTTGTATTTTTTTTTTTTTACGGGTCTTCATGACGAGGCAATGAGTACCTTAAACACATAAACCTGGTTCAGTGCAGCTGCTCAAAGAGGAGCTGCGTGGCTAAAACTAGCATCAGGGAGGTGGTGCTTCAGTCCTGACAGGTGAGGGATTCTCACATGAAGTAAAGGACCTTCATGTGACCTCTGGAGGACTTTCCTCTGGCTCTCCTTTGACACCACGCGCCTTGGAGAAGCTCTCTGGAAGCAGGTGGGGAAACGTACTGCTGAATCTTGACCAGAGTGAAACTGGACTGCAGTTCAGTCTTCCTGGATCAGTCTGAAGCTGTTGGACTAAACACTGCTGTTCTATGCAGAAAACACGTTTCTATAAATGACTCCCTTCTTTTTTGAAAAGTTCTGTAAAGACTCCTTCACAGCTGGATCAAAAACAGCAGCACCACCTGTTTACACTGAACCTTCCACTGAGTTCTTTTGTTTGCAGAACTTATTGTGTCCTGGAGTTGTAATTTTGGTCGTCTGGATGCAGAGGAGTTACAGGAGGCGAGCGTGATTTACTGCTGGGAGTCAGGAATAACTCTGACTGGTTAACCTCACAGACTGAGGTTTGTTCTGGTCCAGTTTATCGGGTTCCCAGTTCAGCTGCGGAGACGACATTCGACTTTTCTTTGACACTCATCCGGTATCTGTCTGGTTTTATTTGATTTAAAATAAGTCTCAGAAGCTTGTTTTAGGTCTGAGCTCAGCAGCGATGTAAGAAACGACAGAACGGCTCAACAGGAACTGTAGATTTACTCATTTTAACACGACTGAAATTACATTTTGAACTTTCTAACATCGTTTTACTCAGTCGCAGTTTAAGTTTTGAGGATTTTACCGTAGCTTAGAGGGACGACTCATGTCTGAAGCAGTGGTTCTCAGACCTTTGAGGTTCTGACCCACAAAACAACAAAAATATCCAAACATCAACCAAGAGAAGAAATCACATTTAAGGGTCTTCAGAATACTTTTGTTCCAGTAACTCCAAAAATAAACTGGACCACAATTCAAAAGGCTCTTTTCATCCAAATATTTGTTATATTTCTGAATTTAATCCATAAAAGCAAAAACTGAAAACCACAGCAGGGTTTATTATCTACACCACTCTGGACACAATCTTCTTCTTGGTTCTACTTTTCCCTCTTCAGGGGTCTCCGCAGGGAGTCCTCCATCTCACTCTGTCCTCTGCATCCTCTGTCCTCACTCCAACTACCTCCATGTCCTCTCTAACTGCATCCATACATCTCCTCTTTGTCTTTTTCCTGGCAGCTGCA